AATCCTCATTTCCTTTTCAAAGCGAGAATTCCAACTTCACCATGTTGTCGCCAATCGTACGGAGACACCCCAAAACCGCATCCATATTGCGGTTGAGCTCAGTCACCGCTTGAGTCTGTGTGTTGGACATTCGTGCTAGACCATCGAGAATGACCGGCAGCTTCTTAACTTCCAATAAAGCTGCTCCCATCGGTTGAATTTTGCGATAGAACAGGAAACTGCTAACACCAAACAGCAGCATACCTGTTATCAGAAGGCCAATAATGTAGATGTCTTCCACATCCTTAACAGACAGTATTGACAGGCACACCATTCTCCACTTTCTCCATGGATCAAGGGCGTATCCGGCAGCAAATGTCCCCGAGGGGCAAGTAGGCTCCCCACTGCCTGCTCTTCTCGTCGAGAAAATTTTGTCGATTGCATCGAGAGACCAGCCAACCAATTCCATGGTTTGTTCTTAGGGTGAAAGTACGGTAGGAAACAAACAACGAGGGTTGGTTCATTAAAAATTTCCCAGGTGCGTTACTCAGCCATTTTTGTAAAAATTACACAATATACTATTAGTGATTATTTAGCAAAGCATGATGTGGATTTCAAGTATGATATGTTATCATACGTTTTAAGACCATCAAAATTTATCACTATTCTTGACAAACGGGGTGTCGCCCCGGCAACAGAGTTCCGTAAAATAAAAAGCTTTTCTTTTCCTGGTTGTCTGAACATCTTCAAATGAAACATTCAGTTTCAAGAGAACCAGATAAAATCTGCAGGAGTTTTTAAAAAACTGTGACCTCTATAAAATGGGTCCAAATGTGAAAGAAAATTGGCAGACTCTGTTAGATTTATGATATTGGTCCAAGAGACTTTTTTTTGTAGGTCTTGGATGAAAAGTGGACCATTTCTTTACCCTCAGTACAGTCCTCAAGGGTGCATGGAGTTTGCCCCAACCAGTCTACATGGACTTGTGGAGATGGCCTTTGACCCTGTAGCGCTCTTCTAAGGGCTGTTCAGTCCCTGTTCGACCAACCTCAGAGTTTGTTGGGGAGAAGTCACGATTTGTTTTTCAGTGAGGGTTGGACTGAGCCAAGGCTGCCCTTTGTCACAGATTCTGTTCATAACCTTTTTGGACTGAATTTCTCAGCACAGTCACAGCGTTGAGGGAGTGCAGTTTGGTGGCCTTTTCGCAGATGACGTAGTAGTTCTGTTGTCTTCATCAAGCTCTCACTGGAGCAGTTCGCAGCCAAGTGTGTGGCAGTTGTGATGAAAATTACCACCTGCAAATCTGAGACGATGGTCTTCAGTTGAAAAAGGTGGAATGCTCTCTCGTGGGGATAAGATCCTACACCAAGTGGAGGAGTTCAAGTATCTTGGGGTCTTGTTCACGAGTGACGAGAGGATGGAGTGGGAGATTGACAGGCAAATCGGTGCAGCCTCTGCAGTGATGTAGACTCTGTATCGGTCTGACGAGGTGAAGGAGCTGAACCGAAAGGCAGTCGATCTATGTTCCTACCATACCTATGGTCAAGATCTGTGGATCGCAACCCAAAGAATAAGATCCCGGTTACAAGCAGGTGAAATGAGTTTCCTCCGCAGGGTGTCCAGGCTCTCCCTTAGAGATAGATGAGAAACGTTATCCAGGAGCGACTCAACGTTGAGAGGAGCCAGATGAGGTGGCTCGGGCATCTGATTAGGATACCTCTTGGATGCCTCCCTGCTTAGGTATGTCCCACTGGCAGGAGGCCTCGGGGACGAACCAGGACACGCTGGTGCGACTATGCCTCCCAGCTGGCCTGGGCACGCCTTGGGAACCTTTGGGAAGACTGGAAGAAGTGGCTCGGGAGAGGGAAGTGTGGGCTTCCCTGCTGAAGCTGCTGCCTCCTCAAACCAATCCCGGAGCAGCGGTAGAAAATTAACAGATGGATAAAATTAGAATGTTTTGGCTTTTTAAAATTTGTTTTCTGAAAAATAAATTAATTTGTTTTGTGTTTGGTATTTTTATTTTTTTTAATAAACCTATTTGATGCAATCTAAACATGTTTCAATTTGGTTACTTTGCTTTGCATTTCCCAGCCACCATAGTAGCCTCAACTTGCGTTGCCTGTAAGGGACACATGTCCAGTAAAATACAAAAAACATTGTGTCAAAATAAACAGCATTGAATGAAGCAAATACAAGTTTTCATGTCGTACTTTTTTAATTTCTCATTTCAGTTTTGTGACGTCATAAAAGGCATTTTCACTGAAATAAAAGTCTCAAGACAAGATTGACGTTGTGCTCATGAGGTGACGTCTAGGTGCATTCCTTAGAAGTTGAAAAAGCTTTGTTTTTAGCAATGGTACAAGTCATTTCCTGCTTTCCTTTTTTTTTGTTTTGACAAAATTGACATCACGTCTTCTGAGCACAACATCACAGCATATTTCTTCATAATTCATTGAGTCAACATGAATCCAACTTTTAAGCCCTGTTCACACAGCACACATTTGGTCCGACGCTGCACCGAAATATTTTGTTGCGATGGATTTTACACCGGAGCAAATTTTGTGGAGCGGTCACACGTGCAAAGCCGCTGAGCGTGACAACTCCGGCGCAGCGTCGAAGCAGCTCCACTTGCGGTCACACGTGCAATTTCTGCTCCGGATCAAAACGACAGGAATGCGGAAGTAAAACAGGTTCGGGTCGGGCTTCTCTCTCGCGGACTTTTATTTATTTTTCTTTTAATAAATATTATGGCGGACACTATTCTGTCCTTGTTCAGAATAGATCCACTTGTCGGCAGTCGTGGAATAAAGACGTGTTTACAGTCAATCGTGTGTGCTCCTTATGACTGCCACAATATATGTTTTAAAAAATGTATACTAAAACAATGTGCGGATACTAAACTAAGGAATACTTGTTTTAAAACAAACAATTTGGATAAAACAGAGAATGCGCTGTAATTTAATTGCTATTTAACTGCTAAACAGGAG